GGGGGCCTTGGTGGGACCTGGCTAAGCCAGTGCTCTGGAGGGAGTTGGGATTCTATGGGAAGCATGCTCTACCCACAGCCCCTGACCTCAAGGCTCTTCCCACCCACACCGAGGCCTTCTTTAGGTCCTGCCCATCTTCCGACCTGGAGCAAGGTCCCATTGACATCTGAGAGCATGGGCTCCTCTTAGGAGTGGGCACTGGCAGGGAGATCTGTTCTTGGAGGTGGGGGAAGGGTGAAATGAACTGCACTGTGCTCCTCACCCCCCCAGCTCTGGTCCCAGAACAAGATGGGCAGTTCTAAGAACCCCTTTACCCACCTATAAGAGCTTCTCACTCACGAACAAAGGGATCCTGCAGTGAAGGAGCAGGGACCCCAGGTGTTATAGACAGGGTGAGGTGGGGGGTAGTCTTGTTAGAAACTTCAGCAACACAGAACTCATACTCCATGGGCTGCTCTAAGATAGAAGGATCTAGAGTCCCTATTTCCAGGGCAGCCACTGTCAGTATCCTTCGGACATTGCCTCGGCAGGGCAGTAAAATTGAGACTTAGTGGCTCAGAGGGCCTCCTGCTTCCCTGCCCATCCTGACCAGAGCATGGAATAGTCTAGGGTCAGGACCAAATGTCAGAACCCAGCCCCAGGCAGGTCCATAGTGATGTTGCCCTAACCATTGGTCCACCAGGTTCAGAGGCTGTAGGAGACAGATCAAGCCCCGGGAACCAACACTGGTATCCAGACTGAGGCAGAGTCCTAAAAGGAACCATATACCCATAGGGATTAAATGGGGGTTGGATAAGAGGCCACGGGGGCCTTGGGCATAATGGTCCCCAGAGCATCCCAGCATTGCTGGGTGACATCATTTTGCCTGTGATGTGGACACATCCCCTGGGGCTCTGATGCAAAGCCACTTGTCTGAGACTAGCTGCCAACAAACAGCAGGGCCAGTCTGGCTGAACTGTGCCATTGGCGATTCCAACACGGGCCAGCCCCAAGTGACCCTGTCTGTTCCCTCCTAGGACCAGGAGCTAGAGAGCCTGTCAGACATCGAGGCGGAGCTGGAGAAGGTGGCTCACCAGCTGCAGGCATTGCGGCGGGGCTGAGGCACTGGCTGGTGGCTGAGGCACTGGCTGGTGGGGCCAGCCATGGCTTCAAGGCACCCTGTGACCCTGGTCCCACGGCTTGAATGCTGCTCCTAGTAGGGAGGCTGCCTCTAGCCCACCAGAGCCCAGGTTGTCCTCTTGCCCCTCACTCCCTCTAGTTCTCAGCCCCTGGCCTGGACACTTCTGCGGGACAGCCCTGACTGTCCACACAGATTCCTTCTCTGAACACAGGCAGCTTTCTAGACGTTTCTCTTCCACCTTATCCACGGGGCACAATGGCAATAACTTCTGACCTTTGGGTGAAAGCCAAGAACTCCCGACTATAAGATATTCCAGATAAAATTTATTGAAGGAAGAATAAACCTGCTTTGGGCTCTTTCCTTTTGATTTTTTTTCTTTCCTGTTCCACTCAGAGTTGGATAGGACTGGGTTGTTTCTATGCTGGGCTGGGTGTGTGTTTGGGGGAGCTCCTTTCTGGGCCATTTACTGGGCAAGCGACTTTGTATCACTGAGCTTCGGTTTCATCTGTGCCCAGAACAGGGTGTGGGGATGCCCACTGCCACAGGGGGTCCACCACCCGTGCCAGCTTATCTCCCAGCCATCCCTGAGCTGGACACAGTTTCTGCTGAGACCGTCCTTCTGGACTGTTCCCTAGTTACCCTGGCACTGGGTGGAGGTTGACAGGCCCCAGGATAATACCGTCCACCGGCCATAGGCACCAGATCAATGCTGGACTCCCCACCTCATGTGCCCATGACCACAGGCATGGGACCGTGGGGTGTCTGAGGTATGGGGCAGAAAAGAGTTTACTAGAAAATAACAGGTCTTAGGCCCAGCTTTGAGGACAGGGAAGTGGAGGCAGGGAAGAAGAAATGGGACATTGAAGTCACAGGTAGAGCTGGCATACCAAACTTTTAAGCATGGGAATTTCGTAAGTTATGCCATCAGGCCAGGCTGGGATGTGGTGCTAGACTCATGGGTGCTGGCTACTAGGGTCAATCATTCAGTCACTCACCAAATATTTGTATGTGGCCTAGTATGCCTGCACACAAAACCTGGGATGAAACCCTGGCTTTGGAAACCCATTGTCTCACTGGGTAAGTTAGATCCTCCTACAGCCAACATGGACTCTGATTGTTGGGCTTGTTCAAGGCTCTGCTGGCTTCAACTTCAGACAAGAACTCCGCCTGTGGACCTCAACTAAAAGCCATCTATCTGGTGAGGGACTTCCAGTGGTGATGATGAACATGTGGGGACTGGGCTTGGCCTTAGCAGTCTGCCTGGTGAGGTTCTCCTGTTAGAGGAAGCAAGAGCATGTGCCTTGTGCCCGAGGGGCAGGGACATCACTGCTACCCCAGACAGAGCCAACTCCAGAGTTCCGGCTGGTATTTGAGAGCTGGGTCCCAACAGTCCAAACCCTGCCTCAGCCCACCCATTCACTACCTAGAGTGCTTGGCCAGCCTTTCTGGCCCTCCCAGAGCCTCAGTTTCCCAATATGGAATATTTGTTTCTACTGGATTGTGGTAAGGTCTGACTGTGTCAGACTGCAGATGAAAAACTCCTTCAGCAGTGGAAGACTTGGGAGGACAGAGGTGGAAAAAGGTCTTAGGCTGAAATTCTCAAGTGGGGCCTAGCTTCTCACTGCTACTGCAGCCTGCACCCGAGTTTGAGGCACACCCTGCATGAGGCCACTGCTGAGACATGGTTTTCTTCAGGGTTAGACACCTCCTAACCGTCATTCCACAAATTCCCACTAGGCTACCAGAGACCCAAAACATCCACCACCAGGACTAAGGGGGCAACAGAACCCAGGGACACCTTGTCACCAGAGGACCCCATCCCAAAGATGAGCCACCTGCAGTCACACCACAAGAAGCAAAGACAGAGCCGGGCAGGACCCAATGGGCCGAGTGTGGCTTTGTAGACAGTACAGGTCCAAGTGCATTTGGTGTACAGATGTCTACAAGACACACAGCGGGGGTGGGGGAGGGAGCAAGCAGGAGCCATCACAAAGCTCAGGAGGCAGAGGCAGGCACAGGCGGATCTCTGTGAGTTCGAGGCCAGCCTGGGCTACCAAGTGAGTTCCAGGAAAGGCGCAAAGCTACACAGAGAAACCCTGTCTCGAAAAAACAAACAAACAAACAAAAAAAAACCCAAACAAACAAAACAAAACAAAAACAAAGCTCAGGCGTGGACACTACTTAGCTCCTCGGGTAGCACAGCTCTGTATAAACCCTGGGTTAGCTCTCTATGCAGGGAGCCTCAGGGAAATATCACCTCTTACGTCCTGCAGGGGCCCCTCCAAGATGCCAAGCCCCATAAGACCCAGGAATCAAAGAAAAGTCAACCATTTCTGAACAAGACTGAAGTTGGGGAGGTACCTCCCAGTCACACGCAAAAGCGAAGAGGACCCAAGCGGGAGGGACCATGCTGCTGTGGCGGTCGGCCCTTCTCTGCAGAGCGTTGGAAAGGGCCATTCCCCAGAGTCCGCTGCCGCTGGCCTGGCAGAAAAGGGGTTGGGGCATAGGCTTTCACCATGAGGGGAGGGTCTGTGGAGAAGCCTTGGGGCCATCATCTGAGTTATACTTGGCTGGGCAGGGCAGATGAGTCTGGGGGCAGCAGCACTCACCGTAGGCCTATCCAAACTGGGGGCTCCTGGACCCCAGAAGTTCCCACTGAGGGCCATGGCTCCTGTTCACCCACGCTGGAGGAGGCAGGCTCTTTTAGACCAGCTTGAGGGCTCTGGCGTGACAGGGGCCGTAGCCACAGCAAGTTGGGGTGAGGAATGCTGTTGGGATCCCACTGGTTAAGTGACTGATTTATAGGGAATATTAAAAGGCAAGCAACCCCTCCCAGGACATCAGCAAGGCCATCCAGTGGCTTTATAGTCAGCAACCAGTGTGAGTGCTCTAGAGTAGACAGGGGCCAGCCTTCAGGTCAGAATTGCAATGTCCTTTGTCTCTGTAGGTCTGTTCAACAGACACTATTTGCCCCAGCCATTAAAACCTCAACTTCTTGCTGTGGCCTTAAAAAATATGTATGTGTGAGGGAGCAACTGTAAATGCTGAGTCCAAAAGAGGGCTGGGGTGTCTGCTTCCATTACTCTCTGCCCATCCTTTAAGGTAGGGTCTCTCCCTGAACCTGGGCTCGTCTTTCCTTGGCTAGGCTGGAAGCCAGCAAGGCCCAGTGGTCCCCCTGTTCTATCCCTCCACTCTTGACCTGGAGTTAGAGGAGAGCACTGGATGCCTGGCTTGTTACATGGGTGCCAGGCTCTGAACTCCAGTCGTCGTGATGGCACAGCAAACATCCTCAACCACTGAGCCATCTCCTTAGTGTCCCCATCAACCCACTGGGCTTTTGACTTGCTGTGGAGCCTTCTTAGCAGCTTCAGAGAGATGCTCACTCAGGGTGGGGCTCATGGGGATAGCCCCCGAAATAGCTGAGGGTTTGGTGGATCCAATTCTGCAGGCTAGCCTCCCCATGGTACGGGGCAAATCTAGACACTTCTGTGACACCAACAATGACCCAGACCCAGAGCAGACCCCACTCATCTCCCTTGGTGAGGACAGACTCCAGCAGCTAGTGCTTCGTAGTGTCATGTTTGTGAAAAGTCACATTTCTGCATTATTAAAGCATCTGCAAGCATGTGGCCCCAGGTCCCTGCTCCCATTTCTACTCCTGGAAAAGCGAACTGCCCTCAATACCCGCATGGAGCCCTGTAGAAATGGTGCATTGCCAGAAGGTAGTTACCTGGCAGTGTGACCCTGGGGAGAAAGGAGCTCTAGGGAACGGGATACTGCCTCCACCCTGCCTGCTGACAAGGCAGAGACTGGGAATTCTATTCTGAAAAGCCAATGGTGCCTTATCAAACATCTTTAATGACTGTGACCACGTATGAGATGTAGTTTGATCTCAGTAGTTTATTCTGGAGACAAAGCAGTGCGAGAGCCGGTCACACTTCCCACCCCCTGAATTCAGGGCAGGCCTGGGAAGGCGACATACAGACATCATCAGGTTCAACACTCAGGTCCTGTAAACGTGGTTAGTCCTGGGGTTCTGTTTCCAAGAAAGCCAACCAGCTCCTCCTTGCCCAAAGGATGCCCCACCGTGGTCCCACTTAGTAGCCTCCCTAGGGCTGCTGGGTGCTTCCTCTAGTGTCCTCCATCTTCTTGGACCTAAGGACAGTCCAAAGGCCTAGTTCTCTTCGCAAAGTGAGCGGATATCTTAAGACACAAGATCACCCTTGGGGGTCCTGGGCTGCTCACCCAGGGTTCCACAGGCGTCCTTTCCTGTGGGCTTTGGGGCCAGTGAGTAGTCTGCCAGCTGCTGTGGGGACAGAGCGAGTCTGGAGTGAGGCACAGCTCCCTTGGGGGCCTGCCTGGTGCTCGGTGCAAGGGACTTGCCATGAACACTGCGCTGGGCCTGGCTGTACCAGGAGGGGCTGGTGTGCGTGTACAGGAGCAGCCCTATCGGCAGCCTCCTCTCACCCAAAAGGCGGGACCCAGATGATGGCACAGAGCAGCAGGCATCCTCGTGGGCTAGAACACTAGGTCAGCTCTTCAGTTCTCTGTCTCAGGAGCCACCCCGAAGACTCATGGAATGATTTGTTCAAAGTCCCAGCACACATCCTGGGTCCTGACAGACCCCTGGACTCCTAGCCAGGCGACCTCCCTCCTGGGTCCCAGTGAGCAATAGACAGGGTGGAGAGGATGGTGGCCTGGGGCATTCCACAGAGCCAGTGAAGACTGCCAATAGCTAAGGGGCTTTGGCTCCGCCCACAGGAAGCTTCTTTCCCCTTCCCACAACCCAGAGCCTCAGCACAGAGCTCCCAACTGCCAGCTTTGGAGGAGACCACATCTGGGGAAAGAGGGACAGTGAGGTCTGGGTGTGGGCAGAGGTGGAGAGGGGAGGAACAGGGAAAACGTTCGTCCTTTTGCCTGTTCAGCTGCAAATAGCCTGGCCAGACATGGGCCTCCATCCGGGGTGCCCAGAAGGCTGGCCCACAGCAGCCATGAAGACAGACAGACATGCATACATACACTTGCATGACAACCACACACACAACATGCACACGCCCCACTTCACATTCAGACCTAGTGTTGAGAACACACGCGTGTGTAAACTCAGTGAGGAGATCTGCACAGCAGGAGTTAGGCGGCATCCTCAAGGCTGGACCACTGGTGTTCTGCTCCGTCTCCCCCCATCATTCCGATCATAACATCAGAAAATCAGGTAAAAAATTAAAACAGAGAAGCATCAGATCACCGGGAATTCTTAGTAGTGTTTCCCGTTGGGAGCTGCTGGCCCAGTGGGTGTGTTCCACGCTCTGCGCCGCCCCTCTGGGTCCTGGGCTCTGTGGCTACTGTGAGGAGGCCTTGGTGGCCAGGGAGGCCACGCAGTGCTGCTGGAAGCTGGGGGACACACCGGTGGTGCAGCCAAGTCTCTGATGCGGCAGCTTGGCAGAGGCGCCGGCACCCAGGTTGCCTGCTTCGGGCTCAGTCTTCCAGGGGGTGTCCTGGCCCTTCATGCTGCTGCAGCAGTCAGGGCTGGCACTGCACGTCCGCTCACCAGCCAGGCTACCGGCCTGGTCCGCCAGAAGCCTGTTGTGCCTCAGCGGGGCCACTTCCTCCGTGGCAGCTCCGCCTGTGCTCTGGCCTTGCAGGACTGTGGCAATGTGGTTCAGAAGGTCGGTAAAGAACTCGCTCACACCCTCATAGCCTGGAGATGGAGAGACAGAAGGTAGTGGGTATCAGCCCAGGAATAGGAGGGGAGAAAGAAGCAGAAATCATGGGCTCCTTGGGACTTGGGGAAGCACTTTCAGTATCGAAGGGTGGTGGGAGTCACAGAGGCTGGTGCACATGGTCCACAGGGCTGGCCCCAGACTGTTGTCTGTTCCCTGGGTGTGGGAAGTCCCACAGCGCCAGCTGATAAAGATGAATCTTGTTTTTATTGGGCACCGCCCTGGCTCATCCACTGCTATAGTCTAGGTAAGCAGTGCGCTTTCCAAAGTCCATGTCCTCAGCTCAAGGAGCTGTTGGGAGGTGGTAGAAGGGCCTAAAAGATCATCCAGTCATTTCAGACACGCCTTCTCTCCCATCAGGTAACCGGTGTCCTCTGCCAGTGATTCCTCATAATATCTGCCCTGTCATAGGCTCACATCAATGGGGCGAAACCATCACGGACTGAAACCTTCAAAACTCAAATAACCTTTCCTCTTTAAGCTGATCATTGGGTATTTTGTTACAGTAACAGGAAACTGAGGAGCGTAACCATCCAACTCTGATGGGATGTACAGTCAGAGATGGCCATGCCAAAGTGTGTTCCTCATACACTTACTGACAAACTGAGTCTGACCTCAGACCTGGGTCCTGGCCACTGTATCCTATCTTGAACCTCAGCGTTCTTGTCCACACAACAACTGGAGAGCAGCTCTCACAGTGCAGACTCCTGGGAGCACCACAGGAGGGCTAGACATGGGTGGGTCTGACCCGGCGGCCACAGACCACACCAAATCTATTCCCTCTCACCCTAAAACACCTCCAGGGATGCTATCTGTGCCCCAGGCTGAGGATCAGCACCTACGAACAGACTGCCAAGGCCACCATCTGTGGCATAAAAACACACGTTAACCACCTGGGAGAAGAACACACTTTTATACACGCACTCATGCACGCATGCACACTGCAGGTGCAAATACCAGCAGAGTCCCCAGGAATTACCCAGCAGGCTTCAGAGTCAGGGTGAGGATTTGTTGACTCCCAACAAACCACTTCCAAAGAGATCTGAGGCAAGATCTCCTCTCACCTGCTCGGAATGATGTGCCTAGGTTAGAACTGGTACTATACTATCGGTACAAGCTGAGGTGGCACTGTGTGGGGCCAGGCCACTGGGCTGCCTCGTATTATTTGGCAAACCACCCTGTGATTTTGAGGAAGCCTGAAGCAAGGGCGCTCATGGTAAAGCTAATAAAGTGGCCGGCAAGCAGCACACCATGGCAAACGTCAATGCCATCTTTACCACTCTGTCTCCAGGATACATGTGGAGATGAGGGATTGCCAACCATGACGGGGAAGATGACGATGCCACCATGCTGGTGTTCCTAGGGTGTCAAAAGTGCCAACCACTGGGCCGTGACCTTCATGTGCCTTTGCTCACTGCCCACGTTCCTCAGTCCATCTTATAGGGGCCTTGAGGGCTCTGCAAGGCCCCAGGTCACAGAGCTCCTACTTGACAGAACTGTGATAGATCCAGATCCTCTGATCTTGTCTGTTTTTAGTACCTAGTACTGAGAGGCCCCACTGCGGGACCCAATATCCTGCTGGCCCTGGGAATGAGGGCGAAGGGCAGGGCAGACGTGGGTCTAGGTATGATGCAGGGAGGAGTACCAGGACCCAGTCGGGTTGCTAAGAAACCAAGGAGGCTACTCCCTAGTAACCACTCCTGCTTTTGCTCCCAGGTGAGGCCCAGGGGACCAGGTAGACTAGATCGGAGAGCGAGGGGAAACTTCCCAGAGCATAACAGAGTCACCTCCTTGGGGGCCTTTGGTAAACAGGCTGAGGTAGGTCGGTGTTTGCCAGCCTGGGAAGTGATAACTAGCAGGGCAAGGTGGCAGCTCCAAGCCCAACACTATGCCAACCTATCTGTCTGCAGCATGGGAAATGCTGCCATTTGTACAGAAGAGAAAGGAGGGGCAGAAGTACGGTTGCCTAGACCACCAGAGTGAAGAAGCGGGCCACGATCGGAACCCTGGCGTTCTAAGTCATCAACGGCCTCAGTCAGTGTGAGGGCTCTGGACTCATGGGTCCTAGTCCTGGGGGGACTGTAACCATGGATAAGGTCCTTTGGCTCCCGGCATCACCTCTCATGGGCGAGCAGAGATCACAGCAGCTTTCCCATGCCACAGAACATGGCAGGGCCAGTGGCTCAAGCTGCTCCTGCCTCTCAGGCTTCCTGATCTCAAAAGCTGGGTGCTTTGACAGAGCTACCACCTACCCCAGTGCCCCACGGGCTTCCCACGTAGCCCCAGAACCAAGCCCCTGCCTCTGCTGGGCCCAAAGAGCTGGCTCTACACCACGGGTGGTACACCAAGCTACCTCCCAGACACCAGCCCCTCTCTGCCTGAGGCCCCTGGGACCATCAGTATCAGGCCCATCTGCTTTGGCTGGGCTCAGCCTTATCAATCTGGTAGCCACACACCCAACCCCATGCCCCAGTGCACTGGGACAAGCCAGCTCTTGGCTCCCCTGACAGAAGACTCAGTTCACACTGGTTCTCAGTGACTGTCTCCCCGAACACACAAGAGGCTCTCCTGTCTTTAGGAGGATACATATAGTTGTCTGAGCTGGGAAGGGCTGCCCATCACCAGTGGAAGAGTGTATCCCCCTCCTCCCAAGGCTTTTTCAGTGGCCCTGTCACCTCCCTCCACCCAGTAGTGGGCTGTGTGTGCTCTTGGATCACCCCACATCTCCTCTTCATCTTTATGATGCTCCTGATACAGCAATCCCCTCACTCTACACTCTGGCGGACCTCAAAGGTCCCACCACCTACACCCAGGGGTTGAGAAACTCAGTGGGCTGGGTCTGAGCATGTTGGCTGGACACAGGCCTCAGAAGCTCCCCCCTGACCCTGTCCGGTCCCATTTCATCCCTCCTGGTACCCAACTGGTCCACCTTCAGAGTCAGTTCCTCCCCTTTGCTGAACTCTCTCTGGCATCCATGCATGACAGAGCAGCCACCAGCGGCTCCACCTTCCATCTTCTTCCTCTCAACTGTGGTGGGAGCTCTGAGAGCAGGAAGTTCAGCCCCTGGCGGATGTCAACTGAATGACAGATGGAGTTGTTGGGCTCTTTGGGGTCCCTAGTTTCCTGCTGCGAGCTGTGATGCTATAGAGTGGCTCACATACTCCCCGTATTCTCTGAGGGTTAAGGAGATATAAGGACTGAGTACCCAGGATGCTTGGGCCTGGTGAGGTGGTTTCCTGGCCACTCATGCCCCTGGGCAGCAAGGGGGAGATTGCTATTCTTCCACATCAAGAAAATGAAGAACAACCAAGAACACTACATTCCCAGCTACTCAGGAGGCTGGAGGGGTAGGGGTGGTTATGAGCTGGGAGCTTGGGGCCAGCCTGAGGCAGGGATACCTGGGTGTGGAGAAGTCCAAGGCCCTGCTCTGGGGCCATGGAGACCCAAAGCTAGACTCTAACTCTTTTACATCTGATCCCCCAACCCCACCCCAGGATTCTGGGACAGGGTCTTGTTATGTAGCTCTGGATGACTTTAAACTCATGGCAATCCTCCTGCCTTAGCCTCCCAAGTGCTGGTAGAATTCTACACTTCTCAATTCCAATGATGATGCGGGATCTTAGGGTCTCCAGAGCACACAAGGAGCTTTTGAGCGCTGGCTGTGGACATTATACCTGCTCTCCCCGCCAGCCCAAGGGGTCTAGGCTAGGGCTCAGTTGGTGGTATTCCCCAGGACCCCTGACTGAGCAGAGACTGAGGGATATTCAGTGGAGTGAGGCTCCAAGCCAGAGCTTCCCGGGGCTCCAGCAGGGCGCAGGGAGGGGATGTAGTGTGGGGCCTTGGTGGCAGCAGGCATTATAATGGGGAATGGTGCGGCAGGGCTTGGGCCTGGCTCTCAGCCTTGCAGCTCAGGACAGTGGAACCAGCACTTGCTCAGGAGGAGCTGGCCCTGCCGTTACATGCTGTGGGACCTCAGAAGAGGGCTTCCACTGGAGGGGACTCAGTTTCCCTACCTGTGGATGATAAGGGGTTGAGTCTTTTCCAAGTTCCTTTTAGCTCTTTGGGTCTAGGAGGGCCAGTGGGATGGACTGATTAGGCCAGTCACGGCTGAGGCTGACGGCAGTATCGAAAGATGGGATGAGAGAATACAGTGCTGTGGAGTGCCTGGGCGTGGCGTCTCCCTACAGCTAGACATCAGGGGCTTCACTGCTCTTTACATCTTAAGAGCGGAGACTGCAAGAGGCTAACACTTGCCCTAGGCCCCAGAACGAGGAGGGGCTCTTCCGTCCCCAGCCAAGCTGACTCGTCGTCCCCACCCCTCTGAAGATACCGGGTAACCAGGGGGTCACCAGTGCAGGGTCACCCGGCCCTGTTGCTCACCTGGAAAGGCATTGACATCAATGACAGCATGCTGCCCAGTCTGGTTATTAATGATGATGTCAATTCCAAAAAGTGACACTCCAAGCGCCTGCCGCAGAGCCCGTGACAGTTCCCGGATGACCTCATCACTTGGCCGTTCGAACACGCCCTCGATCTTGTCCAGCTGCCAACGCAAACACAAGTCAGGCTTTTGTGACTAGGGTACTAGACAGAGTGGACCCCTCTCATGAGGGGACCTGCCGTCCTTCTGGTCAGGAGGTGGATCCAATCCCCCATGGTCCAAGCCTGCCAGGACCTGGAGGCACCGGTGCATGAAGCAGGGTGCTTAGCGCCCAAGCACTCCTGAGGCTGATATCAGGATAGAGAGCCAGAGGCTGGTCCAGGGTCACAGAAGCTGGTCATCCAGGGCAGGATTTGGATCCCCGATTTTCAGTTTTGAAAGCCCAATCCTTTCAGGAGAGAGGAAGGAGATAGTCTATTATGGAAGCAGACAGTAAGGTAAAGAGGACATTGGGGCCAGAGCTTGAAGGCAGAGAAGATTGGGAAACAGCCAGGTACAGATGAGGTATACGAGGGGTACTAACCAGTACCTTGGAACCACACCATAGTTGCCGGCAGCCTATAGGAGTGAGGCTGAGGGCCTACGGAACCCAGGAAGCCATGTGCTTCTCTCTTCCCAGCTGTGATGAACTAAGTGTTGGCAAACAACATCATCCCATCCCACGTGACCTGGGCTTTCCCAAAGGCGCTGCTGGCTGATGCTCTTGTCTGACTCTAAGCCCAGCTTCCGGCTGTGTTCTCCACAGGCCTCTAGTCCAGGTCTGCCCACCCAGTCCACGACATCTCCAGTGCCACATGTTTTCTGCTCTAGTGTACATGCTCTGGGAAAGACATGTGTCCCTACATACAGTCCTTGGCCAAGGGCCTCTGAGGAAGAGAAATGAGGCCCAGGGAGGAATTGTGGGGTGAGGATATGGGTTCAAATCCCACCAGAGATTTCTCAGCTCTGTGGACTTGGGGAAAGTACCTGACCTATGCCTCTATTTGCTCATCTGTACAATGGAATTAGGCCTCCATCTTAAGCCTGCTGGGAGAGACCCAGGGGTGGGGTGGGGGGAGGTGGAAGGGGATGGTAACTGTACAGGTCTGGCTATGAGGAGGTGTAGCTCTTTTGGTTTTTCGAGACAGGGTTTCTCTGTATAGTTTTGCGCCTTTCCTGGTGCTCGCTTTGTAGACCAGGTTGGCCTCGAACTCACAGAGATCCGACTGGCTCTGCCTCCTGAGTGCTGGGATTAAAGGCGTGCGCCACCACTGCCCGGCGAGGTGTAGCTCTTGAATACAAGGACACAGACTACACGGCCTCCTGTTGAAGTCAGTCACAATAGGGTGCACACTAGCTGCCAATAAGTATTGAGTTCCGGGGGAAAGGGTGGGTTGAAGCCAAAGTGGAAAACGAAATGGCTTGCGTCTCAGCAGGGAAAGGCTCTTACTACCATGTTTGGTGATCTGAGTCTGAACCCCGGCACCCACATGGAGGAAAGAGAGCAAGCACTGACTCCTGACAACTGTCCTGGGACCTCCACACACAAAAATAAATGAATAAATTATAAAAAAAAAATTTCTTAAGATGGGCAGAAGTGGTGAATGCCTTTAATCCCAGCACTCGCACTCGGGAGACAGAGGCAGGTGGATCTTTGTAAATTCAAGGCCAGCCTGGTCTACAGAGTAAGTTCTAGGACAGGCTACAAAGAGAAAGCCTTTCTCAAACAACAACAAACAAACAAACAAACAAAAAACAGCAACAAAAACAACAAAAGGTTAAACATGGAATACCTTAAGACCCAGATACTCATTCTAATGTTAAAAAAGGGTTCTCAGACAGACCCTTGGACACCAATGGTTAACTGCAGCACTCTTCCAGTGGCCAAAGGTTCCAGACAGCCTAAATATCCATTAGCAGACAAATGGACAAACTGTAGCTTATCCACACAGAGAAATGTGGTTTGAATCCATGCAGATGGAGGTAAGACCCGAGATGGACAGGGGCTAGGGTCGTAAAAATGGAGATTGAGCACTCATGGGAACAGGGTGAAGAAAACGGTTTGGAAATATAAAAGTCTGTCTATATGACATTGGGAGTGTGATTGTTGCTTCTAAATTGGTCACTTAGGGGCTGGAGAGATGGCTCAGCAGTTAAGACCACTAGCTGCTCTTACAGAGGACCTGGATTTGGTTGCCAGCATCCCCACGGAATCCGATGCCTTTTTCTGATATCTGTGGTGCACAGGCATGCGTGCAGTCAAAATATTCATACACACACAATGAAAATAATTAAATCTTAAAAAAACTTTAAAATATTTATACATGTGGATTTTTATCTCAATTTTAAAAGCACAGAAAATGTTGAGTGTGATACTGCATACCTTTAATCCCAGCACTTGGGGTAGAGGCAGCTCTGTGAGTTTAAGGCCAACTTGCTTTACATAGAGAGTTCCAGGCCAGTCAGGGCTACAAAGTGAGACCCTATCTCAAAGCAAGACAACTGTACTGGCTAGTTTTATGTCAACTTGATATAAGCTAGAGTCACCAGAGAGGAGGGAGCCTCAATTGAGCAAATGCCTCCATAAGACTGAGCTGTAGTCAAGCCTGTAAGCATTTTCTCAATTAGTGATTGATGGGGTCAAGGCCCAGCTCATTGTGGGTGGTACCATGCCTGGGCTGGTGGTCCTGGGTTCTGTAAAAAAGTGGGCTTAGCCGGGCGGTGGTGGTGCACACCTTAAATCCCAGCACTCAGGAGGCAGAGCCAAGTGGATCTCTGTGAGTTCGAGGCCAGCCTGGTCTACAGGGTGAGATCCAGGACAGGCACCAAAACTATACAGAGAAACCCTGTCTTGAAAAACCAAAAAGAAAAAAAAGAAAAAGAAAGTGGACTGAGCGAGACAGTAAGCAGCACCCCTCCATGGCCTCTGCATCAGCTCCTGCCTCCAGGTTCCTGTCCTGTTTCAGTTCCTGTCCTGACTTCCTTTCATGATGAATTGTGATGAGTAAGCCAGATAAACCCTTTCTTCCCCAAGTTGCTTTGGTCATGGTGTTTCATCACAGCAACAGTATCCGTAACTAGGACAACAACCAAATAAAAAAGCCCTGGTCACTAATACAAAGGATCTTAAAATAGACAGTAAGGAATTTCCAGACATGTACTGAGCAGGGACAGACACATGGGCTCCATCCATGCCCTGCCGGTCAGGAGAACAGCAGGGCCCCTCCACTTGAAATCCTGGTGTCCAGTGCCTGACCTAGGGGAAGTATTTCCTCAGGGGCAGCCACCATCTGGCTACAATGGGCACTGCCTGAGTTTCCTGGTCACTCGGGTTAGTGGCTTGGCCCAGCCCATGGTCCCAAGCAAGTCACAGATCAGCCTCGGCCTTCCTGTCTCTACTATGTGGCCCTGATCTGTCACATGGCCCTCCTGGACCTTGTTTTGCCACCCCAATAAATAGGCTAATAAAAATACCTAGGCTGTGAGGCTCGGCTGAAGACTGCTGAGCTGATGGTATCTGAGGCTCAGGGTACAGGGGCTGGGCGCAAGGCCGCCCTCGCCGCTGCCCGTTAGAGAGCCCCATGACATGCTGTTTATAAAAGTACTTTCTCAGCTCAGCTGAAGAATCTCAGAAATCCTTCCAAAGCCATTTGATTATCCGAAACCAAACAGCCGGCCTCGGACTAGATAAAGGCATAGAAATGGGCCCGTGGATCCAAGCCAATTGAGCTGTGGGGTTCTGGGAAAGAAGGAAGGGAAGAGTCGAGCAGGTGCTCCTGTGGGCTGACCTGGTGACCTCAACCCCTACTGCAGCTGACACTAAACTTACAGAGGTACACATCGGACACAGGTACTCTGGGGCACGATGAAGAAACTGAGGCTCAGGTCAGACCTCAGGCAGGTCCTCTTCCCTTCCCCATTACAGGAGTGCTGGGGATGGGTCCCAGGGCCATGTTTGTGGATGACCCAGGGGCCTGCCACTGAACTACATCCTGGGAGTCTATGCTTAATAATCCCCTGAACTGGCTCTCAATGGTGAAAGGAGTTTGGGGTCTAAAAGTGGAGGGAGAAGCTGGGCCCATTTCCAAAGGCATTGTCTGGGGATGAGGTGGGGCCTTCAAGGTTAACAGAGGTTTCTGCTTGGCACTCTTTGGGGTAGAAGATGATGATGTCCTGGCCACTGGTTCCTGGGAATAGAATCAACTGCCAGTCCAGCTTGAAGGTGTTCCTGGAGGGTGACATCCGCAGAGAAAAGGTTGTGCTTGTCATTCTGCATTCTTTTCATCAGTTGTCAGCTCTGAAGGGTTCCATGTGGTGGGGTGGAAGTTTGGAGGCTCACAGGTCTTATATGTAGGGGGGACCCTGTTGTGTTTAGGTGGACCCTTTCCATTTTTTCAAATACAGAAACAGGCCAGTGGCCAATAGGTGACGAATCAAGAGGGTGACTTCAGGTGGCTCACTGCTTCTAACCCTCAAAGCATCCCTCTGGCACTGGCTAATGGCCCCAGTGGCCAGTTGTCCTGTACTGTGCAAGGACACCATCAAAGACAGCTCCTCAGGAATCCTGTGGAAGGTCAACTCCCCTCTGCCACCCTGTTGAGCAGGGTTTTCATGGCCTGGTGGGATGTCCAGGGACCCTGACACGTGGAGAAGAAAGCCTTCCCCCATATAAGGTACTACTTCTGTTTCTCTGTGTGCACAGGCAGCTTTTGTGGGCCTGGTGGTCCGGGTGGAGGAAATGGCTCAGTGTGTACAGGTGCGTGCTATGCTACGTCTACAGTCCTGAATTCAGTCATCAGAACACACACAGGCGGGACGGAAAGAACCAACTCTATAAAGCTGTCCTCTGACTTCCACACCCATGCATATGCGTGCACGCACACACACATCATGCGTGCCCACATCATGCACACACAAATAATAAACATTAAAAAAAAATCTGGTGCATTTATCAATATCCCAAGGGACATGGGTGTCCTTCCAGGTCCCTGTCAATGCCATGCTTTATTTCTTAGCATACAGTTGCATCTTCAAAGGAAACATAAACAAGCAACTAGCCGAGCTAGTGGCGCATGCCTTTAATCCCAGCACTCGGGAGGCAGAGGCAGGCAGATCTGTGAGTTCAAATCCAGCTAAAGCCACACAGTGAGACCCAGTCACAAACAAAAAAGGAACTGCCGGGCTGCTCAAGACAGTGGTCAGGAACACGAGGCCAGGCCAGGGCCCTGAAACCAGACACTGGCAGCTTCTGTTATTGAGTCCAGTCGGGAGAGGAAGAAAGACCCACCCAGAGCTCGTAGAACAGCTGGCTGCACTTCAGGAGAGCAGGAAGCCAGCAGAGGCTCTGAGTTCAGAGTGTGGCAGGAAGCCACTGGAGGTCAGACTTTGGGCTGGGGCGGGGAGGGGACAGAAGGCTGTGGCCCTAAGGTACTTTATGTCACTAGCAAGGAAGGATATTTCTAGAAGACTCAACTTTGCAGTCCGACAGGTAGAGATCAAATCCCTGCTTGCCCGTGCGCACTCGGTTGGTGACATCTCCAAGCTGGACATCCTTTCTGGGAAGCTGCTGGACGGCCACTAAGCCCTCCGCTAAACCTGACATAGATGTTCACTAAATACCAGCCATGCTGTCAAGAGTGAGGACGCCTCACGGGAGAGCTGCCTCACTGTCAGCAGTCCCCGCCAGGCCCACTGTGCTCCCACACACGCGGCTGTGATGCCCACCGACATGACTGGGTGGGCCTGTTATCTGGGGACAAGGGTCCTTCCTGCTACCCTGGCCTGCCAGACAGCCCAGCTGGGGACTCCACGGGGAGATCACACTCTTATCCAGGCTCAGACTCCGGTGGCCTCATGCCAGGCCATCATGGCGAAGAGACATACCTCCGTGAGGACCGATGAAGACTCTGGCTTTGACACGTTGTGGCTGTTGAAGAAGATGGACTCCCGATCTGAAAAGACAGACATGGGGCGAATTAGACCTGGAGACGGCACCACCGACACCAGGGGGCAGCACCACCCCAGTCACGCTCTAGGTGGCCTCTGGCTCAGCCGCAGAAGCAGCCCAGGGCTCTGGGGGAGCTAGGCACCCACAGCTGCATCACAGATCGATGTGTGCCCATCAGGACCCCAGTTTCAATTTGTCATCCCACATAGAAATGAGCGGTTTACTGGGACACCTCCACTACCGTCTTAGAGCACCACATGTGGGTTTCCTTAGCACCTAAGGCTGGGCAGGCCATATGCACAGGAGGCTGGGAAGAGAAGGGGCAAGAGAAGTGGCCGTGCACCCAGATATCCAAGGTCTGTCCTGAGGGAAGAAGCCTAGCAAATGCCATTGGTCCCGGTGTCCCCAGTCAGGTGGCATCGGCCTGTGAGCTTAATAGACAAACGGTTCTTTTGGTTCCCAACTACTTAATAGGAACCCGAACAAAGGCTTTCATAGGCTCACCCAGGAAAGCCTTGCAATGTCCCAGTCTCCTCCACTCCACACATGTCCTGTTCCACAGCTGCCGCCACCCACCATCCCTCAGCCCCACTGGACACCAGAAGAGGCAGTTCAGTCCCAGGAATGTGATGGTGCATCCATTTATGCCCCCAGTACAAACGTCCTTGAGGTGTAAGGCATGATTGCTCCGCGGAGATGTAAGGTTGGCTGGACAGTTTGCAATGTTCTCAAGCACTTGGAAGCATGGACACGCTAGAGCAAGAATCACAAAACCACAAACCTAGGGGTTGAGTTCTGGCCATTACCCCCTCATAGCCCCACCCCCCACCAAAAATAGCACAGGGCCACTCTGGACTAGAAGCCCCCAAGGGGTCCTGACAACGCTTGCTCAAGTTCTTGCCAAAGAGGTGTCACGGACCCCACCCTGCAGGACCCAGTGATCATCCCTGGGACCCAGGCCCCCAAGCATTAGGACGGGATGGGCACTGGCTGAGGGCCTGTGTGCCAGGGCCCAGGTGCCTGTTGTGGCTGCCATGACCCCCAGAAGCTTCACGACTCTATGGCGCCATAAAAATCATGCACAAGGAAGTGATTCAGGCAGAGCCAAGCAGGCAGGCGCTGAAGTACCTGGCATCCTTCCCGCTAGCGGGGCACAGAGGCCCCTGGCCACCCCGGTGTGCCCGACAGTCCTCCCGCTGCTCCGACCAGAGCCAGTCCAGACGGGGGGCATGAGAGATGGTCCTGGGGAGGAGCCTGGGAAAAATAAACACCCTGCAGACTTGTGTCAAGCACGCCCACTGGTCCCTACTCTTGGGCACGAGTGAACCTTCAGGGGTGGCAGAGACGGACAGGCCAGAGGCTAGACCAGGGCTTCGTCACTTAGGATCCGGCCTTCTGGAGGTACTGCCCATCTTCTCCTCCTGGAGCCTCCTGAACTTGGAGTACCTCCCACCCAAGTCTCCACAGGTCCCCAAGAGCCAAGGCCAGAAGAGCAGAGCAGGCCTGTGGTGTGAGGACAGGCCCCCAGCAGCAGCAGGTAGATGCAGAAATGTTCTGGGAGGCTGGGAAGCCTGTAGGGGCCTGCAAGAAGTGCACATGGGCACTTGGCTGGTCTAGGAAGAGACAGAATGCCAGGGACTCGTGGTCCCACTACACTGGACAGAGTATGTCTCAACGGCTTCATATAGACAGACCATATGTACCGATATCTTCAAGGGAAACTGTCCTCTACCCCAACTGATACTGCTGGCCTGGGGTACTCTGGCCTAAGGATTACTAAGTAAGAGATGTCTCAGGCTGAAGCATAGGCCCAGTACCTCATCATGTGCCAACAGATGGCGGGAGTGTCATCAAGAGACCGAGGGGAGCTGAGATGGGTTAAAGGGGATCTCGTCCCAGCAAAGAGTCCTGGTGCCTGGCTCCCTAGGAAGCTTTAAGATGGCTGGTCCTGCTAACAGACAAGGGGGGCCTGGGCCTTGCTCCCTAACCTTAGTGACAAGGTGCTTGCCCCCAGGAGCACTGATAATTTGGGAGCTCCAGCCAGGGACTGCTGCTGGACTAGTCCCCCAAACACTCAGCATGGAGGCCACCCCCAACTTCCAATAAGAGTGGGAGGCCAAGGGGATGGTCACCAGGTGGTTTTGCTCTCAGGGGAAAAAAAAAGCAGACTCAAAAGGAGGGTGATGACCAGATTGGCTCAGACATCTCAGCAATGTAGGCTGTGCCCACACTGTTTTCAGCCTATGTGTCCAGTCTGCCATCTTTCCCTGTGGTGTAAGCCACCACCCTGTCACCACCTCTGTGGCCAGTACCTACCTGTAGCCTACCTGCTTATCCCTTCTCACAGGGCTCTCTCACCACCACCCCAACCTGGTGTCCCAGTACTTGCCTTTGTCCCCTGATGCCCTCATCTCCAAAAAAACTGGCCCTCCAGTTATGTCTCCCTTGTGTTATTCCTCACTGGAACACACACTGCTCGTGAACCTGCCTGGCCAGCTCCTGGCCGGTCCCCTAGCATACCACCCAGGGTGAGTCTATGGCATTTTCAATAAAAGCAGCATTTATGACTTCAGGCGTCCTGGAGTCAGCTCAGCACACTACAGAGCCAAGTTACCTGCATCTGCAAAGTCTCCTTGGAGAGCACAACCTCACCCACTCATTTGCATATCGCTCTCACCCTGCAATAGCATCAAATGACTGGGACAACCCTGGACATACTAAGTCATCCTTTCAAAGAAGCAAGAGGTACCACTCTCTACGTACCCTTAGGACTGGGAGGGAGAGGGGGAGTAGAGCCCTTACACAAAGCTGGGAGACCAAGGCAATGGGGCCCCAGGGCCAAGGTACAGGATGAAAGAGCATTAGGAAGGAGCCCAGAGCCATGAGAGTGTGAACCACAGGCAGAGAACATGAGCACATTCTTTGTATGTTCCTTAGTGGCTCTCTTAGTGAGAACTCCTTGGGTTCCGGTCCAAGTACTTGTAAGGTGCCATGGGCTAAATAGGGCACACATGTGACTTTGGACACTGACATGGAAAGGACAGAAATGCATGTGAGAATCAAGGGAGAACAGGAGTTGTGGGGTGAAGATGCCCTTGTCTATATCTCTTGTCCAGAACAACCCCAAGCCAGGAGACCTGTCCCCCGAGGTGGACATGGGAGGCTGAGGGACCTGCCCACATTATATGGCAGAGGCTGGAAGATTGAATGGGCTCTGGAAAGAAGCCAGAGCCCAAAGCCCCCTTCCCATCTAGTCAGGAGAAAGGGCTGCTGAAGCCTGAGGTCCTTTTGGTCAGACAAAGAATATGCAGGCCAAAGCTGGAACCATGCCACTTCTGGATCAGACAGACACACTGAAAGTCGCTCTGATCCCCAGCCCACCTCTGGATGTTATGCCTCAGGGTGCTTCGTGGCCTAGAAACAGTCACGAGAGAAGACACGTTGATGGGTTCCTGTCTTCATCATTCCTGGCTCCCAGTGCCAAGGCGGAAACTGGCCTAGTGCTTTACAACCAGGAAGAAGGAGAAGGAAGCAGGGAACAAACACGCTTTTGTGGGAGTAAGAAAGAAGATCAGACGCCAGATTTCATTCAGAGATGAAATGATTTGGTTAAGAAAGGAAAGGGCATGTCATAAGCAAGGCATAGCTGTGTGTGCATGTGCGTGTGTGTGCGCGCGCGTGCGCGTGTGTGTGCACGTGGAGGGGTACTGAGGATGGAACCCGGATCCTCCTCATGCTAAGAAATACTCTGATAGGCGAACAAATGTTTTGTAAAAATCTTAGACTCCTCTGCCCCACAGCCTGCAAGACTATCTCTTGGTGGTACCAGTGACCAGTGTCAGGATAGGTCTGTCCCAAACCACCTGGTCTCAGCGAGGAAATGAGAGGCCAAGTGCCTGCCCTCTACTGTGTTAGTGGAAAGGTAAGTGACCAAGAGAAGAAGGCTGGGGTGGGGTGGGGGAGACATGGGACGGGACAACAGGAGCTGCTGCAACAAGCCCCGAGGGATGGCCACATGCAGTCCTGGGCGCAGGGCCTTCCAGGGGCCTCGAGGAAGGCCTCCCCGGGGAATCCAGTGTCCAAGAAATCCTCAGAGAGAGAGTTATGCTGTTTCTAAAGGCACTGTCCTGACCCACAAACTTCTGGAACTTGTCTGAGAGGGGCACTCAGGACCACTGAACATTCTTTTGAGCAGCTCTGGTCAATACATCTTTAACTGAATGGTTCAAAACAGCTGGTGCCCAGGATGGATGGAAGGGAACATGGGAAGGGCTCCTCTACAGAGCCCAAGGCTGCTCTCCAGAGGGTCCCCTTCAAGACCCTCAGGGACAAGGAGTCATGCAAACACCTCTACCTCATGACATCTGAGGGACACCAGGACGCCACCCATCGATTCAGAGGACGGTCACTGTGGCACGGCAGGAGTGACTGTACCCACTGGGACCTGCCTGAGGACCCCCACAGGGATCTTTGTGACTCAGTAGCTGCTGCCTGCTTTGGAAACCCTGATACGCCTTGAGAGCTATGGAAGCCGCAGATAATTCAGACTCAGGGACCCCTTTTGGAAAGCGGAAGCGCTAGGCAAGGGTGGCATGCAGAGCAATCAGTAGTCACCTCCCTCCCTCCCTTCCCATATCCGGCTGGCCACATCCACCGTGGCATACTCCTCCTGAGCATCATCACTGGATGGGTCCAGGAAACTTCTTAGGGATAAGAAGCTTCCAGAAATTTGCTGGAGTTGGCAGTGTCTCTGAGGGTTGGAGCCCCACAGTACCTATGGCACATGGTCTATCATTGGTTCTTCAGGACCTTTTTATCGACCTTTTTATCCATCTATACAACCCTTTCAATTCAGGCCATCTCTCTCTAACCCAGGAATAACAAGGAATAGCAGGGGACAGACACTGGGTATCCATCCTGGCTCTGCCCCAGGGTCTGGCACAGAGTGACAATACCAGGGGCAGTAGATTACCTGACGTGCCCGCAGAGAAGTTTTTGAGTGAGGGCCTCTGGACCACTGTGTAGGACTCGCCCACCACAAACACCTTGTAGAGCACAGCATTGTGGTTGATGAAGTTCTGGACCACACAGGGGGGTTGGATGGCATTCAGGCCCTCCTGGTTGAATACAATGGCCATCTGTGGAAACAAAGACCAAGGCTCTGTCAGAGGCCATCAGCTTCCAGCCTCCAACACAGCGAGCAGCTTGTTACTTTCCTGGGCACCACCACCACGACCTCTCCCTGGCCCTATGACAAAGAGCTGGTGCCCAGGATGGACGGACGTGAGCATAGGAAGGGCTCCTCCACCAAGTTCAAGGCTGCTCTCCAGAGGGCCCCCTCAGGGACAATGAGTCCAACACTGAGGACTCCCAAACCAAGTTTCAAGGCAGGGTGAGTGGAAGAGTGGGAAGCTTATGCTGGGGGGGGAGGGGGGCTGGCATTGGGAAACCCCGTATCCACTGAGGCTGCCATACAAAACTCCTGAGAGCTTTATTCACTGCCATTCTAGGGGATGGGGCTCCCTAGGTTGGGTGTAACGCCACAAAGATCCAAGAGGGAAAGACAGGAAGCAGACGCTATGAGCCAGGAGTAGAAGGCCTTGGGTCAGAGTTCCTTCTTATAACATCACTGCAAGCACGGGTCCCCTGGTGTCATCCTCATAGTGCCTGAGGCGAGCACGCTGCCACACTTTTGCAGATAAAGAAACTGAGGCCCTGCACACTTCAGTGAGTGATCTACAGGCGAGGGAGAGGCTGGGTTGGAGTTGGGTCTGCCTGGCACCTCGCCATGCCCTCTCGCACAGTCACGTGACACACGGGGAACTAGAATACAACTCTGTCCTAGTCTCCATCTCCCCTAAGGACAAACATGCTGAAGGAGACTCTGAGGGGGGGCTGAGTGTGGGGGAAGGGCAACTGTGCCCTCTTCTATTCCACCACAAGGCTGGCTCTGGAGTCTGCCATGACCTGCCCCGAGGATGATGGGGCCCAGCCCACCTGAAGGAGTGGCTCAAGCTAAGTCACTACATGGCCAGGAAAGAGTCCAGGCATATTCTGTCTGCTAAGCAGGGCTAATGGGTCTGGACAGATGGCCACCTGAACCAATATGCGAGATGTCAGCCTCGCATCTGCTGTCACGGGGCACTCACTACCTTGTGCCCGAGGCTCAGCTGGGCAGGACAGAAGCTCAAATCCAAGCCCTGTGGAAAAACCAGTGTGCAATACATTGGGGGTGAGGGTGTCAGGAGATGTTCTTCCTACAAGAATGAGGGGACCAGTGTGGGAGGCAGCAAAGAGCACTGATTCTGTGGACCCCCCACAGGCCAAAGCCTCTGGTGTCAACACACACTACACAGCACACAACGGTCTAAGACCCTCTTGCCTTGCTATAGGCAATGTCCACCAGCAAATGTGGCCCCGGGGCTTTGCTGAGCTGTGGGTTACGTAGGTTCTTTAAGTGGGAAGGGAGGAAGAAATGACTCTGACTGCCCTGTGGAGCTCATGTGTGTGCACTGGCTTACAAATGCCCAGGGGTTCCAGGTCCATGGAAGCAAACAGGTCGGTGAGGGCTGACAATGGAGCCGGAAGAGGCAGAGGCATGGATCTCCAGGCTGGGACAGCAATGAGGACCCCATGAAAAGCCCCGTTTCCTGTCTACAGCCCTCTACACGCAGTCTCATCTCCGTCCTCACTGCTCTGATGTCACTGGGTATCCCCAAAAGTCAGGGGGTGCTGGGCCCCCACCCTGCCTACTCCACAGTGGGTATTCTCTGAAATGACAGACTTCCTGCTCCCATGTGCAATGGGTCTTCCTGTCCCCAAGGATGGGGTGCCCATTGCTGGCTGTGGACTGGGAGATCACCCGGTGCTGGGACAGCAACAGAGGACATGCATCCGCATATACCTGGGAGTCAGATGGCCTCCCTGCAGGGTGATGACCACACCTAGGGGTTGGAATGCCAGTAAGTCAACAGGGGCCTGCCCCAATCTGAATCCATAAACCCCATCCCAGAGTTCCTATAATAATCAAGTAATCACCAGGGGCCAGGTTCCATGGCAAGCGACACAAGAACTCCCTCACCCCATGACTGACTGTCAAACCCCCAATTATAAATGTGGGCAGATGCGCAGAGAGGCCTAGCAATTGCCTGGAGGTTCACAGCGGACAACGCACAGCACGGGCAGTGGTGCTGGCTCTGTGCTGTCCTGAAGCTGTGTCTCCTGGTCCCTCCTGGCTTGGTAGGGACAGGGAACAGCGCTGTGGCTGCTCTAGAGCCTGCCTGCCGCCTCCCCCCTTTACTCACGAGATGCACCTCGGGGTGCTGCTGCAGCTGGGAATCCAGGCAGCCAGGATACCCCCACATGGCTCTTGACCTTAGCAGACAGCTGCCCTTGCAGCTGGTGATGCTTTCCTTCCCATGGCAGGGCCACCCCCTGGCACAGCCTGTCCCCTGGTGTTCTGATACTGTTTATAGACATTTCCCCATAAACATCTGCCAGGAGACCAGAGTGACCTAGATCCGGCAAAAAGTCATGGTGTCTGGGCTTCCATTTTTAGTCTTCCCCTGGGGAGTCCTGGCAGCAGGGCTATCCAGGTAGGCTTTCCCCAAAGGGCCACTTAGCTCACCCTTGAGAATGTGAGGCCTTGGGGGCTAAGAAGACTCCAGGGACCCAAGGGTCCTCTGCATGCCTCTGCCCTTCTTGCCCCTGAGTCCTCACGTGCTTGTAATCCCATCATCCCCAGAGCATCGTCTCTCCAGAGACTCCGTTCTGGCATTGGGGAAAAGACTCCTTGACACCAAGGTCGGGAGGGCACCCATGCAGAAGGAAGGGTCTCAGCACACCGAAGGGGTGGGATCCACCCCCAAAACTCATCTGCACCAGCAGCAATGAGCCACTCCTCCCGAGAGCCTCTTTGGGAGTCCAGGCAGCACCTGTCACAGATGGACTGGAGGCCAGAAAACCAAGGACACATCGGCCTGGTGTGTCTTCCGTGGGATCTGCTACCAACTGCATGCGTGTCTCCCAAATCCTTATGTGGAGGACCTTAACCCCAGTGTGAAGGCACTGGCAGGTGGTAAGGCTTCGATGAGATCTCAAGGATGGGTTCCTTGAGAATCTCACCATCTCCCTTCACACACGTCTGCACACAGGCAAAGCAAGGCTTGAGGACGCACCAAGAGGGTGGCCGATGGCACGCTCTTCCCAGGACCAGGCTGTGGTCCTCTGAGCTGGGAGACGATGTCCGCTGTGTTAGGTGCCCAGCTGGAAGCCTCATCCTGGGCAGACTAAGCCAGGATCTAAGGGGGGGGGGGAGGCAGCCTTAGGAACAGGGACAGGGGTGAAGTGGAAGACAGGACAGAGCCAGAGTGGTTCTTCTGCTGACCTACACCCCCGGGGTGTCGCTACTCAGACCAGGACAGTGAGCAGCAGCAGGTATGGCTCTAGCAGGGCCCCAGTGAGGGCAATGGTGACGCGCGGATAGGAAAGTCTTCCACTCACCTCATGAGAGTTGGTGCCATGAGCCACTCTGGTTTTGCAAACTATGTGGGAGAGACAGAGAAGCAGAGAGGAATTAACAGGGCTAGCAACCACACAGCCAGACAAGGGGACTGGGGCCCTCGGATAGGAACCTCCCACCTTAGTATTAACCAGGCCCAGCCTTGCTTAGATCCTGATATTGCGTGAGACTGGGGGCATTTGGGGAGGTAAGGGACTCTTAAAGATGCCTTCAGCAAAAGGCAGAAAGGGCTGGTGGAAACTAAGGAGATGACAGTCGCTGTGTCAAGTAGTGTCCGTGCTCGGGTAACATAGACAGATATCCCCAGACCAGGGAGGAAGAGTTCCTTCCCCTCCACCTGCTAGGACCCTCTCAAGGTATGGGTAGAGGTGGGACCCAGGGCTGTGCGCGCTTCTTGGCATCCAGGGTCTTCAATCGCTTCCAGCAAGCTCAAATCTAAGGGAACTGTACACATTACCCCCACCCCACCGTGGTGATGGCCACCCTGGCGTTTACGGTGTACATACTGAAGGGGAAGGCCAGGCCGTTCTGCTCCAGCAGCCTCATGGTGTCGTCCCCACACAGGCTCGTGAGCTCCATGAAGGGCGGTGAACAGATCCTGTCATCTACGGCAGAGGAAGTCTGGTCAGCACACTCCTCCAGAGGCACCCACTACACCCACCTCCAGTCTCCAGCTCTGGCTGTCTCCCGACTCTACAGCCCCACAGCATGTGTGCACAATACGCATGGCGGAGTTGTTCCCGTTTTCTGTCAACATCAAATCCCTGATGTTTTGGTTGTGAGCTTAGCCTTTACCAGCCAAACCATCTCTCCAGCCCTCTGTCAGCATAAAATTCTTATCGCTAGCTGGAAAATGTGAGGTGCAATGAAAACTCCCACAGTTTTACAGCTATAATTACTAAATTCTCAGTCTTTGAGTCTATGTTTACACACAGAGAGCTATCTAACAGAATGCCATTTTGTACATGGAAAATTAACCTGATGCATTGCTATCCTCTGCTTAGCTCGGTAGCCTTTCCCCCAACCTGTGTCTTGGTTTCATGACAATCACAGACAACGTCAGGTGGTTAGCTCTGAGCGTAGGCTCCGCATTGTGCTGATGGCATCCCATACATCCCCCAGAGTCTGCAAAGTCACTCCCTAAGGAGGAAACTGAAGTCAGAGGGATGAAAGAAGGCTATCTCCTCACACAGCTCCATCAGGCTCCCTCCTCAACCTCCGAATCTCTCAGCCCTCCCTGTACCTTTTGCTAGTCTCAGAAGGTGTGGCCGCTGCCTTTGATGCTCATTCTTGTGAATTCTTTTTAAGTATTTTATTGGTGTATGTGGAACAGGGCATGCACACGGTACGGTGTATGTGTGGAGGTCAGGGAACAACTTGCCAGAGTTGGTTCTCTCCTTTCATTATGTGGGTCCTGGGGATCAGACTCAGGTCTTTGGGCTTGGTGGCAGGCACCCGCTGCTGATGAGCCATCTCACTGGCCCCCTCACTCCATGAGTTCTAACACTACTGGACTCGGGGCAAAGCCATGGAAGCTGACGTGCATACCATGCATACTTCTGGATACTTCTGTTGGCAAGCCAGGTCAGGACAAAGCAGATTATTGGTGGGGAAGCAAATGTATTTTTAATCCCTAATGATTATTTAGTTACTGGTTTGTCACTGTTGCTTCTTGTCATAGTCTCCATCCCTGAAAAGACCATGAGCTCTCAGGACATGGGACCACCCTGTACTGGGCACAGGGACTTGCAAAGGCTGAGTGTCAGTGGGGCAAGGGCAGCCCACTACCCACAGACTTGGAAAGCCAGTCCAAAGCAAACCAGTCAGTGCCGTCCCAGAGTACCTGGCCACTTGGCCCATCAGCGTGTTAAACCAAGATCCAGCCTCACCTTCCCCATGCCAAACACCACCACAGGACACATTCAGAGCGTTTTAACCTCGCTTCTCAGCTCATTCTCCCTAGGCAAAGCCCGAACTCTAAGTAGGCACAACAGTTTGGGGCTGCAGTTTCTTGGGGACCCTAGGAGGGGGTCTGGAGCCAGCATTTGTAGACTGCTCCAATCACTTATGCGCCTTCGCCCTGCAACCTGTGGTACCCAGTGTCTGGTTATACAGATTCAGCAGATGCTCAGGAGCAGCACTTCCCCAAGTCACAGGACAGGAGAGCAGGATGGAGAGCAGGCCGACCTAGTGGTCCAGCAGAAGGGACGACAGGAAAATCAGGGTGCGGAGTTGGGAGCGGCAGGTCCGACCGCACAGCTGTACGCCTTATTCCAAATGAGGCCCAGAGCTACATTCCACCCAGAGCCAGAGACCGGGCAGGAAGACTGGTGAGTGGCCAGCGGGCCCTTCCCTCCACAGCTATCTTTGGAGGGAAGAGGAAGGCTGTACAAGAGGCTTTGTGCCCCAGACTGCAGCCCCTGCAGCCCAGCGTGTGATGCTTACACCTCTGGCCCAGGACTTGCCCCCCTCCCCTCTTTTAGGGAGACTCAGAGGCTGCTGGGGTTCTACCAGCCATGTCCTGTGACAGTGCCCAGCCTCCCCTCTGCTGAGCTTTCAGAACTGGCAGACCAGCCTGCCCTTCTGATATTGGCTTCTGAGATCTCAGCATCTTCCCTGCTGTGGCCCATTCAGGCTTTTATGGCAACATTTCCATAAACTCTTGTTCTATGCCAGCCACAGTTCCACACAGTCACTCACTGTGGCAGTTTGAATGTAACTGGCCCCCATAATCTCATAGGGAGGGGCACTATTAGGAGGTGTGGCTTTGTTGGAGGAAGCATGTCACTGTGGGGGTGGGCTTTGAGGACTCCTATGCTCAGGAGACTACCCAGTGTCTCAGCTGACTTCCTGTGGCCTGCAAGATGTAGGACTCTCAGCTACTACTCCAGCACCATGCCATGCTCCCGTCATGACGATAATGGACCGAACCTCTGAACTGTAAGTGAGCCGCCCCAATTCAATGTTTTCTTTATAAGAGTTGCTGTGGTCATGGCGTCTCTTCACAGCAATGGGGAACCCTAACTAAGATGCTCACCCTCACAGTGCCCCCTAAGGAAGCACCTCTGTCACCCCATTTACAAATGAGAAACCAGCAACAGAGGTGAAGCTCTTTGCATGGAGCTCTGCAGCGAGCAAGCAGTGCGGCTGAGGACTCACACCAGGCCTTCTGACCCCAGGTCTGCGCTTCTGACAACAAGGCCCCGGTAGAAGTGTCCTGGAGGAGGGTGGCGGACTCAGATACAACAGCACAAAGTATGGAGAGTAGGTGTCGGTGGAGTGCTCAGCTACAAACGGGACGCTGATGTCACCCCCCACCAAGACCATCAAGGAAGACTGTCAAAGGTAGAGGTTGCAGAGGCCTGAGCAAAACAATGTCTCCTGGACATGACAGGCCCACTGCCCTCATAGACTCACAGCAGCTGTGGTTGCCCGCACAAGACCTGTATGAGATCCAGCCAGTCAACATGCAAGCCCAGAGAGCAGCAGGGCTCACAAGCACCAACTCCTAACTGAGTAGCTACTGGCAGTTGATGGCGCCTGGGGGAGGAAGCATCAGGTGTGGCCAAGAGTAGGTCACAGACTTCAGGAGATGGCTCCATGCCCATGAGTACACAGTCAACAAAAATTGGACTCAATGAGTTATTGTTAAAAAAGAGAAAGAGAGAGAAATTGGGGTGGGGAGGTGGATGGGGATGGATCTGGGAGGAATTAGGGGAGGAGTAGAGGATGGATATGATCAAATATATTGTAAGAAATCTCAGCCTTTAATCCTAGCACTCGGGAGGCAGAGGCAGACGGAACTCTCTGAGTTCAAGACCAGCCTGGTCTATAGAGTGAGATCCAGGACAGGCACCAAAACTACACAGAGAACTCCCCCCAAATCTCAAATATTAATTAAAATTTGTTTTTTAAAAGAAGTACCCACTGAAATCCCAATCCATGTGTCCTGAACAGTATGATCCCCCAATTCTGGGGCAAGTCTTCCAAGATAGCTGCTTCAACATCTACACATGGAAACCACCAAGGCAACTCTTGGCACCATAGAACCCCTCACCCATGGCGGATCCACAGACTCCATCTCCTTCAGTCACCCACAGTCCAAAACATGTGTGTAAAATTCCCAAAGGGAGCAATTCACACATTTTAAATTGTGTGCCCTGCTGAGGTCCCAGAGTTTCTGGCCATCTACTGCAGCGTGGTCTCAACCTGAACTGTCCCTGTGCCCAGCACCCAGGCTGCACACAGCCAGGAGCCAATTGGGCTATCAGATTGACTGTCATGTCCCCAAACACTTTTCTCCCTTAAAACAGGTCCACAGTGCAAGATTAGGGATACTGTAGGGTGAACTGGTTGGTATACACCTACCAATCTTTGGTGGTCCAAGGCAGCAGGATTGTGAGTTCAAGGCTGTCTGGGCTACATGGTGAAACCTACTTGAAAAAGGGGGTGATAGTGTTTGAGGTGACTCAGTGGGTATGGACTCTGGCCATCTACTCTGATCCCCACAATGTGGTGATGTACTATGTACCCTAATAAAATTTATCTGAAGATCAGAGGACAGAACAAGCCACTAGATTAAACATAGAGGCCAGGTTGATGGCACACACCTTTAATCCTTGCATTCAGAAGGCAGAGATCCATCTGGATCTCTGTGAGTTCAAAGCCATCCTAGACTACATGAGATTGACTCAGTCTAGGAGAGAAACAGAGCCAGGCAGTGGTGGCACACACCTTTAATCCCAGTACTTGAGATCTCATGTCTTTGCTTGGGAAGCACACACGCCTTTAATCCCAGGAAGTGATGGCTGGGTGGAGAAAGGTACATAAGGCTGAGGAGACAGGAACTAAAGGCTTTTAGGTAGAAGCGTCCCTTTTGGCTGGAGCTCTTTCAGGCTGAGGAGTCGGTGAGGTAAGAGGTGGTGGCTGTGGCTTGCTCTATTTCTTTGATCTTTCAACTTTCACCCCAATATCAGGCTCCGGGTTTTTTATTACAAGACCTTTAGAAATTCAAACAACATTCCTCAAGATACATAATTTACAAATTAAACTTTTGTGGTGCTGGGAATTGAACCTGGAGACTCACAACTGCTCAGTACCTTGCCACCGAGCCATATCCCCAGTACCATTATCTTAGAATGCATTGTAGGTGTGTGTGTGTGAATAGGGAAAACCACAGTAAACACAGTGTTCAGCACTGTCTGAGGTTTCAACCATCTACTGGGGCTGCTAGAATGCGTCTTCCCTGTGTTAGGGATTGGAGGAGGGATGGCTAGGTAACATGACAGAAGTTGAAAACCATGCCATCATCTCATCAGATGTTTTTAAAAAACCATTTGGGGTGCTAGAGAGATGGCTGCCTAAGAGCACTGGCTGCCCCTGCAGAGGGCCGGGTTCAGTTCCCAGCACCTACACAGCAGCTCACAACCATTTGTAACTCCATTTTCAGGGAACAGGCACCGGGCGTGCACATGGTACAAAAGATGTACATGTAGGCAAAATGTTCACACACATAAAGTAAAGGCTAAGAAAAGCATTTGATAAAACCCAACAGTCTTCACAGTAAAAATATCAGTGAGCACCATGCAGAAGGGGTTTCTTTGCC